ATAAGTTACGTTGACTCGGGCAGGTGCTACGCATGCCTGGTCACCGCTTACCTAGGAGGGCCTTGTTCAGTCTACCAGGTGTCGGATGGCGCAAGGCTCGAGGTGGACAGAAGTTGACTTGGCAGCGGGAAATGAAGTCACTGACGACCAAACTGGGTGCCGTTGGTCCGTCTCGCCTTCCGGGTTGGAGTCCACGTGACTCACCTTGTGCTTGGCTCGAGACTTTACAGGACATGGCTCGCAACCGACACCAGTGGTGCGTCTGCTGCCGTCTCCTAATCGGATTGTCTGTTTAAAGTGTGTTTGGTGCTGAGTTATCTGCGGGGTAATGGCTGATTATGACGCGTGGCAGTGAAAGCCGCAAGAAAGCTGTCTCGCCGATGCCGCCTTATCTTTGCACGATAGCCAGCTGTTTGTGACGGTATGTCGTATACACAAGGTGTAGACGCCTTGACCCTGAATGTTTGCTTAGGGCATTAAGGTTTTCAGGTAAGTCCCCCTTCTCTCCCTCTTCTTATTCTTTATTTCATAGGTTCTCATGGTTGTATGGCAGCGAAGCATCAGTTCAAATGGCTGATGTACTGCTGTTGTTGATGATGATGATGATGATTCACCACATAAGGAGCATTGCACACTTATCGACATTTCATCATCATCATCATCATCATCATACACGTTAGCTAGAGGTAAGGAACACCTCAGCTACTGTGCCGCAATACATAGAAAAAAGGAGAAAAAAATCAACTGGTGCAAGCTGGCTGAGCTACCGGTAACGAATGGGCATTGTTCCGGTAAGCTACCAGCCGGCTGCTGTGCACCCAAAAAAAATTACTATGCAAAATTATATAAAGCTAAACAATGAGATCGTGGTTGGAGGGGGAGGCTAAGAGGGATGGGGTGGGACAAAGAAACTCACAGCACGAACGCCACTGAGGTCGGCTCCTAGCCATATCAGCAAGTGTGTCCAACCAAACGTGCTCATCGTCTTTCGGACCCCAACCAGGGAGCCGTGACGCTCCAACCGAGGCCAGCTCAGAAGTGAGGGCCTTCATTCCTCTCGACCAAGTCATCGCTTGGCCACCCCTCCTCTTCTTCCATCCACACCCCCGGCGCGCAAACAACACACGTCGCGGAAGTCGGTGGGCTGGCATGCGTAACACTTGGCCGAGTCATCGGAGCCTGATGCGTGAAATAACGGTGCTGAGAGGTTCAGTTCTTTTTCCTGTGCCGTAAACGAGGCGTCGAACACGCTCGTTGCTCACGCGGTGTTCCCACCAGATGTGAGCTAAATTACGAAGGCACCGGTGGTCGAACGTAACTAGCCTCTTCAGGTCCGCTGCTTTAAGCGGCCAGGTTTCACAACCGTACAGTAGGGTCGAACGTACTGCTGCATTGTACACTCTACCCTTCAGGGCAAGAGTGATGTCGCGCCGGCGCCATAAGTGGCGAAGGTTAGCAAAAGCGCCCCGAGCTCTTGCTATACGATTCGTGATTTCATCTTCAATCCCACGAGCGCTGATACAACTTCCCAGGTATTTGAAATTTTGAACGACTTCTCGCTGATCTCCAACAAGGGTAAGCAAAGGAGGCGGTCCAGACCAATCTTGGAGGAACGCTATGCACTTCGAGGGTGCGAAGCAAAGCCCGAAGTGACGGACAGCTAGTGCTAATCTGTCCAGTGCCGCTTGGCACGTTTGTGAGCTGTCACAGATCAGGGCAATATCATCAGCATACTCTAAATCAAGAAGTCGTTCTCCTGGGAGCAGATCCACACCTTCTAAGTCGTGTCCTGTAAACGCGATTTCCATGAGTTCGTCAACAGCGAAGTTGAAGAGGAAAGGTGACAGCGGGCATCCTTCTCTCACGCCGCTGCAGATATTAAAGGGTGACGACAACTTGCCGTAAGCCCTCACTCTGCTCGAGCTACGCGCATATAATGCTCGGATAATATTCACATATTTCTCAGGTACACCTTTCCTGAGTAGACAGTCCCAAAGTGCATGTCTATCCACCGAATCGAATGCACCTTTGATATCGAGGAACACGACTACACTGGGCCGCCAATATATGTGACGGTGCTCCACCAACTGACGCAAAGTGAAGATGTGGTCAATGCAGCCACGACCTCGACGAAATCCAGCTTGCTGTTCACGAATCTGGCTTTCACGAGTGCCAGTTAGTCTGTGAAGGATGACAGAGGCAAGCAATTTGGAGGCAATGGAGATCAGACTGATTCCTCTATGGCTGCCGCATTCCGATCGTGAGCCTCCTTTGAAAATTGGGACTATGATGGAGCGGCTCCAATCGGTTAGGACAGTTTCCCGCTCCCACAGTTTCATTATAACTCGTGTAAATCATCCACAAGAGCAGGTCCCCCGAATTTGAAGAGGGCTGGAGGAAGATCATCAGGTCCCGCGGCTTTATTTAACTTCAACAGTCCCATCTCACGTTCGACTTCTGAGCGAGAGGGTGGATCCATAGGGAGAGCCCACGGAGCAGGGCGATCACCGGTCGGCGAGAAATCTAACAATTCCGACCGATTAAATTGCCTTTCAAAGTGCTCAGCCCAACGCTCCAAGCGTATTGACAAATTGTGGATAGGCTGTCCACTCTCGTCACGTATAGTTTCACTAACACCAGGTCTCCTGCTGCCCGTTTCCCGTATCAGACGGAATAACTCACGATGGTTACCAAGGGCACCGGCGATTTCCATCTCTGTTGCACGACGAGACCACCAGGATTCGCAGTCTCTCTTCAGGCTAGCACGGAGTTTCGCCCGGAGCTCTTTGCGAGTTTCATTGTGTTCGCTTCCAGCCGGAATATGCCGGCGAGCATCTATAAGTTCCAGATACTGTGAAGAGACCCAATGTCCATGTTGGCGATTAGACATACCACAAGAGGATTTGCCTGCTGCTAGTAAGGCCTGTTGAATATGAGACCAGTGAGCTTCAATTGCATCCAGTGAGCGTTTATCCAACTCGCATGACAGCGTACTTTGATACGCATTCAGAACAGCTGGCTTCGCCAGTCTGCCGGTGTCAATGCGCTCACAGCGTCGTCGTGGGCGTCTGCCAAAACGCATCCGCAGGTCAGCACACACAAGTGCATGGTCAGTGTCCACACCTGTGCTCCAAATCGAGTGACAGTTCTGGATGCAGCCTCTCCAGCGGTAACTTATCGCAATGTCATCAATTTGCGTCCAAGACTGGTTCGAGGATGGTGGGCGCCAAGTCACCCTCCGGCGGATGCTGTGTCTGAAATTAGTGCTCGCAAGAAATAAGCGAGCATCCTCACACAAATGAAGTAACCGCTCCATGGCTCCAAATGGAAGCCGACGACATGGAATGGGCCTCTTGGTTGGACATGGGTATGTTGTCAGTGCAGGAATGACGCTCCGCGTTCACATGTGAGTTGAAACTAAAAGACAAGCGACCGTTGAAGCAAGGTGGGGGAAGGCCGAGAAATGGGGGGTTAAAAACAGGGGGGACAAAAGTGAAGCTGGAACGGGACGATAAGGGTGAAAAAGCGCAAGAATGGGAATAAGAAGATAGGAAGGCTTGAGCAGTAGCATCCAAATCCCTATCCACCCTGCTCGATGCAGCAGATAGGGCACCGTTGATTATCCTCTGCGGTGGCCAGAGCATCAGGAATTTAATTGAAGAGAAATTCATTTGCTTTGCTGCAATCGAAGCATTTGGAAGTGATAATTTCCCATTTTAATCAAATCCACGAAACGCACAGGAGCTCACTATTTGTAGAAAAGGGTGCTGAGCGGTTCACTCGCTCTTCATGCACCAAATACAAGGCACCAAACATGCCAATTATCCACGCAGTTTTCCTAACATAAGCTAAACCGTGAAGGCAGCGATGGTCGTACATAACTACATTGTTTAGGTCTTGCTCTGACAATCGTACAGAAGGGTTGAAAGCACGGCTGCGTTGTAAACTCTGTCCTTTAATTGAATAGCCGTGATTCAAACGCGCAAATGTGGCGCATTGAGCCGATATAACTAGCACAGTCATGCTTCCTGAAAGTAATGATGAAGAGATAAGGTGCAAAAACACTATGAAAGACCAAAAATGATAGATAAATCGGGGCACGGAGGAAAACGAGCAACAAAATGCGGGTGTAGGAACGCTACGGCCCTGAGTAAAGACTAGATCAGTAGCTGCGCTGAGGTTTCAAAATCATACAACTGCAAGTGGTAGCATGAAGGCTAGGAGAGTGCCAAGGATTGGAACACAAGGTGCAGATGCTGTATGTCGAACATACGGACCATCAAGCTAGGTCTCTATGGACCTTGAGTTCCAAACGGAATAGCCAAGTATGACATCGAGAAAGCTAGTATGGCATGGCCAAGATCCGACCACAGTAGCTTTGGGGTTGCGAGGTATTGTGACCCTCCTCCCGCTTAGCCTCCATGAAATGCGATCATATTACTGATGTAAAGTAAAAACAAAGCATAAGATTAATTGTTTTTGTTTACTCTTTACAACCATCTATTTTCTTTGCATTGCGGCAGAACAGCCGCTTTTCGAACCTCCGAATGCGTATAAGAATGGGTTTAGAGGTAGGAAGTAAACGAGTACCGAAAGCACGACAAAAAGCGTTAGCCTAACTACTATGTCTCAATGACCAAACAAGCAGTGTGCGGTGCAAAACTTCAGAGCGTCACGCGGCATCAATGAGCGAGTGATCAACATCATTGATTACCTAACAAGATCAACGTCAATAACGGTAATGCATCAACTGTCCTACAAAGGGGTGACCCAATCGTATTACACGAACAGGTTTGAAATAACGGGTGTCTTGTGTTAACGTCATTCCCAAAGACTAAACCATTCAGCCATTCGCACAAAATAACCAATATTACAGCGCTCGAATACCAGTGTTGAATGGAAATGTCCAAGACGAAAAAAACGTAACGATAAGATGGTGTGTGACTACGACCCGTAAAAATATGTAGGGCAGAAATGGGGGCTGCAAAAGCGCAACTGACCTTAAAATGTTTTGACAAATCCGTAACATGTTTGAACAATGATCGGTCGAAAAAGACGTGCTCGTGAAAGCCCAGGTCCAGTATTCCCCATAGCTTGTTGACACAGTATACACAACCTTTCTGAGCGAGCAATATATTGGACCTCCCAGAATCCGATCCCTTCATTACGACAACGAGATTGAGGTTTTCGATTGCGTTAACGGCAACGCTTCTGCCGTATTCATCAGTAATAAAAATTTTGTTGTATTTTTTGATGAACTCCATGAGCTCTATTTGTGTCCGTCCAATCGCAAAATAGACGCATTTGGGAGCGCGAGAGAGCAACGCCAGCAAAGAGCTTGTGCTGATTGTGGGCGTTGAAGTTTCAACGTTATATAAAAGCCATAGAACGCCTTTGCATTCATCTACAGAGAGCACTACAGTGTCGCATTGCTTAACATTATCTCCCAGAGCACATGTGTGATCGATGGTTAAAGGTAGATGAAGGCAACCCGGGGGACCTACATCATTGGGTGAATCAAGCCTCTGAAAAGATAAAGGGCGAGACCTTTTTTTGGAGGATTGAAAGGAGGAAGAATCTAAAGCAGTTCTGATTTGGTCACATAGACTGACTAAATCTCCCTGTAATTCGAATACGGAGGGATGTCGGCGCAAAAAGTTGCAAAGCTCCGACTGAGGTCCAACAATCATTCTTACGAGGGAAGTAGCCTGAGAAAGATGGCCAGCCAAGCTCTTTACATGTATCCAGCGATCACATTTGCGAAGAAGACTTCGAAAGTAATTGACTGCTTCCATGTCGGCTGCGGCTGACCTCGAGATGGGTACAACCGTCCTATGATCTTCAGAGTGACAGTGTGAGACTGGGGAAAAGCAGTCCAAAGGGTCGGCTGACATGTGCTGATCCCTGACTCCATCAGAGGAGTAAACACAATGGTTGCGAAGCTGAAAAACAGCAGGCTGCAGCTTGATGAATCGCTCAAGATCATCTACTGTAGCACCGATTATGGATAAAAAATCGGCTCTATTCCCGAAACGATCAAGCATGTAAGTCCACAGTTGGTCAATTTGTACACAACCATTTGACAAGATAATACACTCCAGAGCCGCGAGAGTATAAGCCCCAGCCATCGGCCAATACAACACTTGACAAGGTCAGGTCACGTTCCAAGGACGGTGAAGCTTCCGTAAATTCTCTTGGTCGATATAATTGGTGGCAACGGAGCCTCAAGTTAAATGGCTGATGTAATCTATAAAGCTTTGTTTCTTGCACTGACAACCAGGTCGGGACAGTATCCTAGGTCGAAATTCTGGAGAGAAATCTCGTTCTCCGTCGATCAGCGTTTACTACATTTTGATCTCGACGAAATATCATCATGGGCATCCTCTCACGACCTGCTGTTGAACCCGGACAAGTCCTGGCTAATCAGCATAAGCAAAGACTAGCGTGACAGAACGTACAGTATCGGGGATCGACGGCTATATCCAGTTACAGCCGCAGGTCTGAGTAGTATTCCGGTGAGCTTTAAAAGCTGTGGACAATACGCACAAGTTTTATCGTTTCAGCCTCCGCATGTCTTGGTCACTGGGGCCGACATTGTAAGTTTGGTCAGTGATAGCTGATATCAAGCTGTATGTCGCATTGGTGCGCTCGCTGTTGTAATACGGTTCACCATCCTACTACCTCAACTTGAAGGGCGAGAAGGCACTAGAGTAGGTTAGTACCAGGCTGATCGTTTGCTACCTACACTTCGTGGCCTATCCTATCAACAAATGTACCGAAAAGTGCCGCTTCGCAACTTAGTGTATAGGGGATAAGGAATTGACTCCAATACTAACTTCAGAATCGTTCCCTTGGGACACTTTCCTCGTTAGGGATGTGCATTCTGCATTGCAGATATGTCGCTTACCTGTGGTCATGTTTATACAGTTTAAAGTCTGCAATAGCGTCATGTTATTAATTCTCATTACTATGCTCTGTGTACTATATTTCCGAAAATGACTACCCAGTCTTGTTGTGCATGTAACATCGATGCACTGTTGCAAGCAACGAATTGACAACCACTTTGGCAACACGTTTCGATGCGGATGCTATGCTCAATCTCCACACGTCGAACGGGTATGTTACTGATGCTTTAGTGCACCGAGACTTAAGCTTATCGCTAGCATGGCCTTTCAAACCGTATTTTGTATGATGTGAAGCTTACACTGACCATTACCCTGCCTCGACCAGTGTTGTTTTGCCCATTTTTACGTTTGAGATGAAAGAAGCTACTGTTGTTCTAATAGTACAGTGATAAGAATTCAGACTAACTAAACAAATGGTATATTCTCGGTAAAACGAGGCACACCTGTGAAGGCGCCATCAAATATGCATACAGGCATAGCTTCTTTGGCGTAGTAAAACATTTCGTTTTAACGAAAGATATAACAAAAGATGTAGTCCATACGAGTGAGCAGATTGGCAGGTAACAGTCAGACCAAGAAACATGATGGCGCCGAAGCGCGTAAATATCATTCATAACTGTTGTTTCATGATACAAGTTGGGCGTGATTTCGCCATGTAATAATCCAAGAGCATAGGAGCCCAAACAACGTTTTGGTGCGATCAGTGCGCATTAAGAAATCGAAATGTTTTGTGCTCCATCAAAGCATTCTTCATAGTAAAATCAGTTGCACAGGTTGTATGTGGAAGTGAGGACTGCGACTGCGTGAAATGTTACACTGTGACTGTATTCAGTGGCGAGTCACATCCGCTACGTTTCGGTGTTGTTAAGCGGACATTTGTGGCCTTTCGTAGGGAGAACGCTTGCAAGGCGAAAACCCACCACGTCCTGGAAAACTGCCGTAGCTTCCGTTGAACAGTAGCGCTAGGCGGCTATGCATCGTACAGACCGATTGTGCACTCTATTATTCTCAGTCTGTTGCCAGCCAAAGTTCTTCCTTGGCTGACCGATTGGCTTGGTAGTGTACCGGTAGTAGGCGTTGAAACCGGTATATGATGCGAACGAGTCGCAGCGTCGAATGCTAAAGGGTGCAGTTGAGTAAAATGTTGTTAATAGAAGCTGGTTTTTTCTGTTACATACTTGTCTGGTTTGCAAACCGTGTCCAGCTATCCACACTGGACTTGTCATGATGATGCTGAGTTCAGTTGTTCCTTGTGGCTGCATACGTTCATACAGCATGAAAAAGCCATTGCGTTGTCCAGTGCGGGATCGTTTCGGGTCTCTAACTCCGCAAATCGGAATCCCTTAAAATGTAAGTGAGTGTAATTTTCTCCATGGTCAAGCGAATACTCCATGAAAGGTCATCGGAAAGCCATTTATACGAGAGTAAAACTCTCGGTGGAATGACATCGGAGAAGCTTCAGGTGGATGCAGAATCGGCGTGTTCTTATGGAAAGGTATGGCACCGAAACCAGTTTTTTGAATGCCGGTGAGCAGGAGCAAAGCTAACCGAGGTAATGACGCCGGCATTGTTTGCCTTCCGTTGTGGAACAGGGGATATATGTAGACATTTCAGGAGTGCGCATTGTGATACTGTGAGTAGGAGGCGAGCTAAACCCATTTGTTTAGACCCCGTGATGTGGCGTCTCCAGAATGGCGGAAAGAGCTCCATTAGGAATGGTGAGTGGGTTCTTTATCTATCAACGACATGCTCAAGAGTTTAAGCCAGCTGGGTATTGAGAATGAATCGGCCAGTCCCAGTGGATAACCCTTCTTGTTTTGGCCGATGTCACTGGAAATCTCGAGAAAGGAAAGGCGACGGACAGGGGGCAGTCAAACAGACAGATATCAATGAATCAAGCAGTACTATCGAAAGACGGGTGGAGCTCAACGGTTCCCTTGATTCATTAAACTCTATGTAATTTTGCTTAGTATAATTGTCTGCAAGCGCGTTCCATACATCACGTCGCTGGTGTGGTTCAGACTCCAATTACTACGTAGAAAGAAGGTTCTGCAAGCGCAGGATCAAGAGACCGATATAACAACGTCTGTATACAGAATTCGGCGAATAAAACCATTGTTGGAGAGGAACAGATAAACCGATGATGATGACAGCAGCCCGAAAGCGAGAGGCACCTTAGGTGAAACTAAGGCGAACTAGGTTGACCTAAGTAGTGTCCGTTCCGCGATCTCAACTACCAAGCCATCCTGGGACCCTGGTCCAGACGGAATCCCGCCCAGTCTACTTAAGAATGGTGGTGAAGATATCCCTCTGCTTCTTCTGAAAATCTTTACGTTATCAATGCAAAAAGGTCAATGCCCTGACCTGTCAGGGTGACCTTGACGCGGTAACCTGGAATTTGACGTTCCTTACTAACGAGCTTTTTAGATAAAAACCGGTGAAAAACAGTGTTTGAACAAACACTAACGGAAGCACTTGACATTTGTCAAATGGTTCAAAGAAGTGAAACACAGCCGAAAGTCCCCAGAACTATGATCAGGGGAAGACGTCGGATCGGCGTTCAGAAGGATAAGGGCACTACCAGTAACGGTATTGCGCCCACAGTAGTCTCAGCACTGACACCCCCGTTAGTCAGCCATAATACAGATAACAACGTGAAAAACGGTAACTATGCGGCTCCTACACCAGAAAAATTAGCTAACTGCTTTGTGCTCCTTTCCGATCCACGGACGGATGCACTACATGACGCTAAAATGTCAGTAACGTCACTAAACTCATTACCACCTAAGTGTCCGTCGCCTTTGCTTTCAGAATGTAAGACAGCACCACAAGACCAGCTTACAGACGCGCTTCTTAAAGTCCAAAACATCGAAAATGAGCTAAACTCGGTGAAATCAGAATTACAAAATATCAATCAATTGTTAGTTAAAATTCTACCGCTGGCGCAGCTATCGGAGCTACATAAATCAGACAAAGTGGAAGATCTTAACGCAGCGGGTGAATTGCTCAACACGCTCGCCAAGGAAGTCAATGAACGAGTCATCCGTGCACGAAATGTAATAATATTTAATATGCCAGATCGAATACCACTTGAGAAAGTGACACGCTCACTTCTAAGTGTATGCAAAATGGACCGGGATTGCTGCTCATGCAGCCGCCTTCGAAAAACAAAAAAAACCGACCATGCCCAATTGTCCTCAAGTTCAACAACCAAGACCACGCCAAATGCTTTCTAGACTACAAATTCATCATAAGAAAACAAGCGAATCTCGGGCCCATACTGATTAAACAGGACATGACGCCACTGCAAAGGGCGCTGATGTCAAATGTACGAACCCCTAATAAGCGGAGTCTGCACAATTCCATAAATATGCTCCTGGACCCTCTCCAACAGCCCCTCAGAAGAAACGCTACTGAATGGTCTCCAGTAACCGCTGTCACGACCTTTGCCAATTCAATTGTCAATACGACGCCAGTACCTGGCATGCAGTTAACTGATATGCATCTGAACTCAACTCCCACGGCAAGCTCATCGCTGGCCTACAACGTTGACATGGACATGTCACAACGACAATTAAATCCTATCGCATTAGAGGTACCGGCAGTTGAAGGACAGGCAAAAGTTACGGCCACCTTGAATGCAATCATGAACAGAACAGAGTGTAGCGAGAAGCCCAACGGCGTGTCTGATGTACGTGACACGTACACTGAGCTCGATAGCCTGTGCTTCCTGTCATCATATACACCGCTTTCCAGTATCGTAAACGAGCTCACGCAGCCTGATACTGACACGGCACCTAAGCCCAGCTGCCCGAACCCAGGTTGCTCTATAACTGTGTCTCCTCAGCTCCCACCCAAACCACAATATTATAATAATGAGTCGATGCCCAAACGCGCCAAAACGGCCAAGATAACACCCACTTGTTTAAAATACAAACCACGCTTTACGCCGAAGCCTAGTAAAGCGACAGTCAATGGAACAATGGAACAATGGAACAATGGTATATGACGGGTAAAAAAGCATACACTTAACGAGTCCCGCAGGTTGGCAATAGAAATACTAACAAATTGGCAAACCACATAAGTGGTTGAAGTAAGGAGTGTCAGTGAGATAAAAGGTAGAAGTATAACAGTTTTAGGGGGATAAAGTGGTACGACGCAAAACTGGCTAAGAAATTGTTATCGTTGGTGATGGTAGCAAATACAAATGGAGTACTCACCGGTTCGCACAGATTTACGACCGTGAATTTGGGG